GTGGTATGCGCAACAACCATTTCTTTATAATAGAACACAATTTTAAATAAATGACGAACAATGACGAACCAGTCAATATGGGGGGACCATTCATTAAAATTTCTGTTCAAATTCATTATTCACACACAAAAACGAGAATAAGGTTATTTATGTTTATCATATGGCTGGGAATTGGATTAATCCAAGAAGGATTCTTCGTGTTTATGGACGCAACGAATCTCTATTAAATACAGAGTGGGTGGATTTATGATGAACACATCTAATGGTGTAACATGTGTGTATATATATATATATATATATAATTATACCAATTATACTTATATATTGTTTTGTTAGAACTTTAGTGGTTCAATCAAGTATTTGGGCGCGTACATCCATAATATGTTTCTACATAATTATCTCATCAGAGTTGAGTAATCGTCTGATGTAATACACATAATTGTGAAATAAATAAATAAATATATATATATGAGAGAATGGATTATTATAATATTCAACTCCAGAAAAACCAGTTAGGAAACGAAACACTTAAAATATTCTAAGGTCTGTCACAACGAAACGTTGTTAACTAAAACGGCAAAATGACAATTTTCAAATAAATAGAAAAAACATTCACTAGATGGCACCACCGATGTTTAAATTGTATCTAATATCGTCGACAAGTTTAATGTGTATTTTATACAGTTTATTTCACTAGATGGCAAATAATTCAATTACTTCTCTCTTTGTCCTTCTATCTTTTATCCTGATTCGTCCAATCCTTCTCCCTGTTTGTCCTGATTTCTTTAACATAAATTATAATCTCCGAGATGATTTTTTTGGTCTCAGATTTAAGACTCCTTTGTGTTTGAGGCAAATACCAGGATCCTTATCGATTGCAGAGTTCTTGTTCCCAAGCATATTATTAATTTTCTACACCCAACATAAAGAATGTGGCGCCACAAGTCAAGCCATAAGATGAGTCCTTATCCACTTTACGTGCACCCGAAGAACCTTTCTATTGCTTGATCCTGTAAAACTGCGTCCTTAATGTTATCTAATTACATCAAACGAGCTTTGAGGCATTTCGAGTCAATTCATAACACTAAATAATAAATCAGTTTGGTCATTAGACTGACAAACGTGTGTGATCTGTATTCTAGATATATATAAATGATTTGTATCATGCAATCATCGTACAGGTCTACACACACATGAGTTGTTGTGGTGTTTATGGTTTGGTTCAATTATCATAAAAAATGATCCTATACGTGATAACCCTTTGAATTTATTTTTTGATCAATTTACTTCGATAATCGGATAAATTAGATCCACTTTATCAATTCATTGGCCAAGTATGATGTTTTACCAATACCTTTCGTTGTGAGTGAAATAAGTTAATGCTTCTTAGAGACGGTAAAATCTATTTTCGTCCCGCATTTGTAAGGGAAGGTTATCACAATTGCATTACTATTTACCGAATTTGTTCTATACCCGTCAGATGGCGCTCAAAACATAAATATATAAATACTCTCGTCCTTCAAAGTTCTTCGTGTTTCTGTGAATTATTAGCTTCACATTTACTTGTATTAGTTGCATGGAAAGCTTATCACAAATTTCGTTGCTCTTAACAGAATATTTTCTATGCTCGTCAGATGGCGCTCAAAACATAAAGCTTAGAAATGAAAACCGTTTCTAGTGCATCTGGAAAGAGCTCCTCGGTATCTGTTTTTTTATTAATTGTTGAACCTACAGAATATAACTAGCTTGAGTGTATACAGTATACCGACTATTCCAAAGCAATTCGAAGTACCTACCAACGTGCTGCCATCTCTTGTGGACATTTTGAACTTTGTATTAAGATACAGTTTATCAGCTGTAGCAAATATAAGAAATTAACTAGCGTTTAGCTTGAATAATATTAGTGAGTCATGAAATGAAAACACCAATTGAATTATTGGCCAATATCTTTCGATTTCAGAATGGTTTAACAAACGACAAGACGATAAGAAAAGTTTTATTCGTGTTTTTTAGCGGAAAGTTACACAATGGACGATTTGTCCAACGCGAGAAATCGGAACCTGGTTTTAGGCTTTGTTTTAGTAATCTCAATCCTCTATTTTGCCTCTGACCAGCGGGAAGAAAAGTGACCGAGTAGTGTATTCAGTCGTTAATAAAACGTCATGATAATTCTTTAAATAAACTACACCTTAAACATAAGTGATGCCATCTAGTGAGATAAATTGTACAAAATACTCTTTAAACATAAGTGGTGCCATCTAGTGAGAGAAGATGTATAGAATACACATCTAGCATGAAGTAATGTTATATAGTGACATATGTTGTATAAAATACACTACATAGCTGGTGCCATCATTTAAAACATGTAGTATAGAATACACATCAAACATGAGTAACGGAATCTACAGTGAATCATAGGTGACTCGCAGCTTTTATTAATTTCAAATACGTGACTGATTAAGGCACTGTTAAAGCATGAAAAGGTCGAGTTAATCCTGCTGTTAATCCAAACTCGTTTCGAATTACAAGAACAGGACATATATATAACACATTTTGTAAAATTCGTTGAAGTGCATATAGTTCCAGATTTTTCAGATACCCTTTAGTGAGATAAGTTGAATACAATACATATTAAACATAGATAGCGGGACAAAGAGAAAAGGACTGGATGGATCAGGACAAAGAGAAAAGGACTGGATGGATCAGGACAAAGAGAAAAGGACTGGATGGATCAGGACAAAGAGAAAATGACTGGATGGATCAGGACAAAGAGAAAAGGACTGGATGGATCAGGACAAAGAGAAAAGGACTGGATGGATCAGGACAAAGAGAAAGAAAGATTGGATGAATGAGGACAAAAATAGAGGGAGTGAGCGAGTCAGAAGGGAGAGAGTTGAAATATTGTGTAAACCAGAACAAAGGGAGAAAAAGATTGATGAATCAGGATAGGGAGCGAGAGGGATTGTATTAATGAAGACAAAGAGAGAAATGGCACTCTCACCAAATTCAGCACAAAGAGAGACTGTATTTTAGCTAAACTGTTGTTAATTGACGTAACTTTGTGTCAAGTCAAACTACCACTGTTAAGATAAGCCATTAATTATCTATCATTTTGTTGGATTGTTAATTGTGGGCTTGCGTCGTTGACAGATTTGTTAAAACAGTTTTAATGTGTTATGGTTATTAAGCATATTTATCTTTATTTTAAGCTTCAGTTATTTTTTGTTCTATCCATTAACTGAATTATCTCTTACTTATCAATTATGAAAACTACAACAGTAATATGCAACACAAATATCAAACAACAACAATAATACTTAAAACAATATATCAAACAACAACAATAATACGCAACACAAATATCAAACAACAACAATAATACTTAAAACAAATATCAAACAACAACAATAATACTTAAAACAAATATCAAACAACAACAATAATACTGTACACAAATATCAAACAACAATAATAATGCTGTACACAAATATCAAACAACAATAATAATACTTAAAACAAATATCAAACAACAACAATAATACTTAAAACAAATATCAAACAACAACAATAATACTGTACACAAATATCAAACAACAATAATAATGCTAGTACACAAATATCAAACAACAATAATAATACTTAAAACAAATATCAAACAACAACAATAATACTTAAAACAAATATCAAACAACAACAATAATACGTGTACACAAATATC